TTAACCAGAATTGAGAAGTTTCAGCACCTTCGCTCCAGCCTGCGTGAGACTGCTTTAGACACTATAGGGTCCCTAGAAATTTGTGACCAAAATTACGATAAGGCGCTTGAGTTGCTAAAAAATCGTTTTGATAATAAACGTCTACATTTTCAGACTCATGTGAGAACCATTTTTCAGCTGAACAACATCGTTGCCGGTTCTGTGGCAAGCTTGCGTGGGCTGAGTGACAAGCTAAACGCACATCTACGAGCATTGGCAACTTTGGGAACTAAGGAGCAAATTGCGGATGGGGTGTTAATCCACTTGGTGTGCCAGAAGTTGGATACTGCGTCTAGAACGAAATGGGAGGAGGAAACTCCTAACAACGAAATACCAACCTGGAGCGCTATGTCAACCTTTCTAGAACGACGCTGTCAGCGGCTGGAGAGCGTGGAGGACGCTCTGGTAACTAAACTTCCAAACAAACAGGTGAGCAAAAATTCATCTTTGGGCAGAACCGCAAGGTGTTCGTTTCATCTGCCACAACTAATTGCCTAATTTGCAACTGCCATCAGCACACGGTTTTCCAGTGTGAGAAGTTTCTTGGTTTTACCCCCTTATGCGGTATAGAGGCAAAATGACTTCAACTGTGCCTAAATTGCTTACGAAAAGGTCATTCGCTAAAGCACTGCAAGTCTGGCTGTTGCAGATATTGTTCAGCAAAACACCACACTCTCTTGCATCAAGAATTCTCACACTCAGATCAAGTCACAAATACGTCATCGCATCTTGTTACACTGCCAGCAAATACGGCTACATCATCTTCGTTTTCGACTGCTGGTATTGAAAGCAGCTCACTATTATCGCATCAACCTCACCCAGGGCCCACATCGCTAATTAGTTCCAAGCCTGGGACTGCAGAACCTGGCCATAATTTCGTCCTTTTAGCCACTGCGATCATACTTATCAAAAATCGCGCTGGATCACTCGTTCCGTGTCGAGCGTTGCTTGACTCTGCCTCGCAACTGAATTTCGTCACCAATCGCTTAGCTAATCAGCTTCAATTGAAAAAAGTCAAATCAACAACATCAATTTCAGGCATAGGCCAAATTGATTTCGTCGCCGATCATATGGTTGATCTAGAGATGCATTCGCGCATCGGTGAATATCAAGCACAGTTGTCGGCAGTAGTCACCCCTTCTATCACTGACGCTCAACCACTTCGTTCCTTGAATAACATTGAGTGGAAAATCCCATCCAACGTATGCTTAGCAGATCATCTATTTTTTGAGTCGCAACGTGTAGACGTTCTCATTGGAGCAAGTTTGTTTTTTGAGTTACTGTGTGCGGGTCAAATTCGACTAAGCGAGCAGCTACCGCTGTTGCAAAAAACAAAGCTCGGCTGGATTGTTTCGGGCGAAGGTACGGGAAGGGTGCTAAGGCCATCATGCCTATCCGTAATCAATGTAGAAACGGAAATTGATTTCGACACTCGGTTAGACAATCTAGTAAAGGCCTTTTGGGAAGTGGAAGGCTGCAGCGGTTCCATGCCGCGCTTTACTGCGGAGGAAATCAAATGCGAAAATCACTTTCTTAAAAATTACCAGCGCCTGGAATCGGGTGAATACTCTGTGTGATTACCCTTCAAGACATCAACTAAGCAGTTAGGCGACTCCTATCAACAGGCACTTCACCGTTTTAAAACCTTAGAACGAAAGCTTCAACATAAACCGGAAATAAAACAGCAATACTCGTCGTTCATGAAAGAGTATCATGACCTTCAGCATATGTCGCTTGTTGGTAAACTACCTAGTCGAGTTTCTGTAAATTTTTTGCCGCACCATTGCGTTTTAAAGGCTCATAGTACAACGACAAAGCTACGGGTAGTGTTTGATGGTTCTGCATCAACGACGAGTGGTTATTCGCTTAACGACCTACTAATGGCAGGGCCTACTATACAGCGTTCACTTTTTGACACTCTTTTACAATTTCGTTCATTTAAATTTGCTATTACTAGCGACATATGCAAAATGTACCGCTGTGTTAGGATGGCATATGAAGACAGCTTTCTCCAGTGTATATTGTGGCGGGATAATCCAAGTGAAAACATCAGGGTTTACAAGCTAGATACCATCACTTATGGTACAAAGCCTGCATCGTTTCTCGCCATCCGTGCAATGAGGCAGTTGGCCGTTGATGAACGGCATGCGTATCCAATCGGTGCAAAGGTCATCTGCCGAGATTATTATGTGGATGACATGATTTCTGGCGCCAATTCAATAGGCGAGGCTCGTGAAACTCTCCACCAAACAAGGGAGTTACTAGCCAAGGGGAATTTTAAATTGCGAAAGTGGTGTTCGAACGAACGTCGTGTGCATGCTGACGTTGCAGCCGAGGACAGGGAGAATCTATTACAGTTTCATGATGGTACTAACGTCACAAAAACGCTTGGTTTAGTCTGGGAGCCCGACTCCGACATCTTCATATTTTCCTTTTCGCCACTCGAGCCACAATCGAAATTGACCAAGCGCGCATTTTAGCCACCATTGCCCGACTGTATGATCCCCTCGATTTAATCGGACCCATCATAACGAAGGCTAAAATCTTCATGCAACAGCTTTGGAAGGAGAAATTACATTGGGACGAAAGCCTTCCACAATCATTACACTATACTTGGAAGGAAATATGTGAAGAGTACACCCTGGTTGATCGTTTCAGTTTTGATAGATATGTTTTGATCCCTGGCGCTAGCTTAGAGGTGCATGCATTCTGCGATGCAAGTTTGTTAGCATATGGCGTGTGCGTATACGTGCGTGCTGAGAAAGATGGAACCGTCCCCACAAATCTTCTTTGCTCCAGGTCCCGCGTTGCACCACTAAAGACGCTGACTGTACCAAAACTCGAGCTTTCAGCAGCCTTTCTGTTAGCCGAGGTAGTATCCAACATCTCGAAACAAAATATTTTTAAAGGTGAATTTCGTTGTTGGTCCGATTCGACCATAGTTCTGTCATGGTTACGTGACGAACCATCCAACTTTAATACTTTTGTGTCAAATCGAATCAGCAACATCCAAACTCTGACTAAGGGCATGAGTTGGCGCCACGTTCCCTCAGAGGTTAATCCCGCGGATATTCTGTCAAGGGGAACAAGTCCTAGAGAGCTGCTGAATTTGCCTCTTTGGAAGCACGGGCCGGACTTTCTTCGTGAAGCCCATCACAAATGGCCAGCTTGTCCCACTATGCTGCGAGACTTGCCGGAGCGACGAAAACGTGCGCTGGTCTTGGTGGTAAGCGTAGATCTCACACTTAGCTGCAAGTTTATTAACACGTTTAAGAGGCTACAACGAGTTTATGCGTACGTCTATCGATTTTCGAGGCCTGTCGGTACCAAATATTCTGGACCACTAAACGCAAAGGAAATCCAGCAGGGAACCTTTCTAATTCTTCGCATGATGCAGAGAGCAAGCCTACACAAGGAGTATCGGCTTTTGGATGCCGGAAAGGAAGTGGAAGGTTCATCGGACATTCGATCACTAAATCCATTTATCGATCAGCATGGGTTGATTCGAGTTGGCGGCAGGCTGCAGCATTCCACATTGAGGTTTGAGGCGAAGCACCCCATCATTTTACCCAAGCGACATCCGGTAACGGATTCAATAATCAACCATTTTCATCAGCAAATGCTCCACGCAGGGCCCCAATCATTACTGGCATCTATACGGTTGCAATATTGGCCCATTGGGGGCAGAAAAACCGTTTCGCGTGTGGTTGATAAATGTATCCGCTGTTTTCGTGCCAAGCCTAAATTGATGAAGCACATTATGGGAAGTTTACCATCAGAAAGAGTGCACCCGGGTAGGACATTTTTAACTACGGGAGTGGACTTCTGCGGGCCGTTCCATTATC